GATATGATTGCTTCTAGTGTGTGGGCAGACCGTGTGGCGAAATTACGTTCGTGATGTCGCAGGGCCATGCGCGGCCTTGGTGGAAAGTGCGTTTGCCGTGCCACTCGGGAGCGCAAAACACGCTGGTGTAAACGCGGCGTGTCGCTGGTGAGCGGGATGATTGGCGGCGTCGTGAGATAGGATTGCTTCTAGTGTGTGGGCAGACCGTGTGGCGAATTACTGCCGTCGCATCTGCGCATGTACGTCTACACACCCTGCACATCCACACTGTCATTCCTTCACGTCCGCCCTCTCTTTCTCTCTTTCTACATATCTTTTCTCTTAACACGTTAAACCTAATTTCTTCGCAACTTCTTACTCAATAACAGAGTGTATAAAGAAGTCATGGCTCATGGACAATCACCTTTCTCGCTCTCGGGCCAACCGTCGTCTAGTTTTTTAATTTTTAGGGTTCCAAGTTTGCCAACCAGAGGATGTATAGCCGGCTTCGACCCAGTGCGAAGGTGAAGTGACTTGTTTAGGCATAGCTTCCCGCCGCTTCGCTTCACCGAAGCAGAGGCGTTGGTGAAACGAGGTCTGGGACTCCATGGCGGAAGTCGAGCTGGAAGCTGGTGCGTTGGAAAGTATCAGCACTGTCTTGACACAGAGCGGGCAAGTTGAGTATTCCCAACTCCTACAGCTGCACTCTAGTTCCGGATAGCGGTGGTAATTTTGCGCGCGCAATCCCAGCCAGGGTCTCGGGTGAGAAACTTCTTGTTGCAGTTCCCTACTCTGCCTGGCGCCGATCAGTTTTAAAGCGTTTGCTGCCCCCTCAGGGACTTAGCAAGCCGTTGGTGGTGGAAGTTGGCTTATGTCAAGAAGATTGCGTGGATGCAGAGATTCAGGAGACGAGGTGTGGATGGGTTTCGAGTCCACAGAACTGGCAGCTCTTTTGTGTCTGGCGGGGGACGAAGAAACCCCTGCCTTACCCTTTGTGGAAGGCGAGAATTTGATGGATGTCTGCCCTACGCTGCTGCTGCTGCTGCTGGTGCTGCTGAGGAGCATTTTGCTTTCGAAACAGCTGGGGTGGACTCGGAGCAAGAACTAGTTCGCGCAGACAAAGGAGGATCTGGAGCGGTGATGGAGCGGTTTGTGTGATGGAAGGTCGATTTGTGACCATGGGTTCGAAGCTGGAGACCTTGCCGCAATCTTTGGGGGTGGGTGGTTCTAGGAAGGCGGAGAAGGAGAAGAAGAAGACAGAACAACCGAGTGCTCCCAAGAAGAAAGCTACAGTGGCTACAGCCCAGGAGAAATTCCCAGCCTCTGCCCTCGGAGTTTGGTGTGGGAGAAGACGCACTGGTCGAGATGCAACGCTTGCTGGGCGCCGGTTCAGCGAAGAGGTGCTAAGATGCCAGAGCCTCAGGTTGGGAGTGTGAAGATCAACCAACCGGCGCAGACCATCTTGTCCGAATCTGGGAGGCGCATATGGATCTGTAGAGGCTCCGCATTTTCTCACCTGGCAGAGATTGTCACCATGCTGACGGCGGGCAAAGTGAAGAAAGAGAAAGCCTCGAAGGTCGAGGCAGCTCTAGATGGGGCGTTAGCGTCAGGAGTGACGGAGGCAGGCTCGATCGGCAGCGGAAACTGCCTTCTGCGTTCATGAAGTTCCGGATGAGATCTACCAGTTGATAGAGCGAGCCATGCTGGAGTTTGACGTGGCAGACTGTGACGCCGGGTCAATCGGCTCGCGTGCTTTGTTCACGGGCGTGGTCGAACATCGGAGCCGCGTAGGACGTTGGAAGTCAGCTGCGCGTTCAGCATGGCAATGGGTGGCCAAGGGCAACGTTGCTGGCGCCCGGGCTCGTTTTTCTCTTTTGATTTTGACGCTCGATCAAAAAGCCTGCGATCGAGGGTCTTGGGTGCTGTCGGTGGAGTTGAGCCTGGAACAAGGGCCACCCATGGCGTGGCGGCTCTCAACCAACATCAGCCGTTCAGTCGGCTGTTGGATGCCAGATGGGCGGAGGTGGTTATTGCTCACCTCCGAGACACAGACGATTTCATCAACCACAGGGCCAAGCTCGGGAAGGGCAGCCTTCAGCCCCAAAGGAGGCCGAAGAAGTGTGAAAGCGCATGACACTGCACCCTAGGGAGATGAGCGCTACACTTCGCCAGACTTCTTCTCAAGTGCAACAGTGGTTTGGGCAAGTGTCTCTTGGCCGATGCCAGTACTATACCCTCAGTTCAAGCCAGCGCGCGCCTTAATTGGACCAATGCCAATCGTCACTTTTGCTGCGTTCCCCGCATTCACGTCACGTTCCTGTGCCTCAGCTGAGGCCGCTCTTAAGAGCAAGGCAGGGGGCGTTGGAAAGAAAAGGCAAGAAGAAGCGTGTCAAAAGAAGTTTCAGTAGACTGTGGAGAAATTTCGCCGAAACAAAGCAGGTTATGAAGCCAATTCTTTGTCTGGCTTGTCGGAGGGACTCAGGTAACCTGCAGTCCTTCAGCTTGACGCCGCTTCGGGTTGGCGGCGGTTTCTTTGACAAATTTGACTTTGCAAAGCTAAAAGCAAAGCGACCACGGCCAGAGTCTGTATATATATATATATAGTTACGCCCCATTATATATACATCTTCAGGTTGGTATGGTCATGGTGCATTCTACGTGTATGTTCTGCAGCTGGTTGAATGATTTTTACAATTTTCGTAAATTTTTTGATTTCTATTGACTTCCTTTACAATTCCTTTGATTCCTATTGACTTCCTTTTCAAGTCCTTTTGAGCCCTATTGATTGTGGATTCCCTATAATTTGGTCTTGCAAAAACATTTGTGAGTCCTAGCTTTTTCTTCTTCAATCCCTTTTGACTTCCATGGATTGCCTTTTAAATTCTTTTTGTTTTTTTGTTGATGTCCTTTTGAATTCCCATTGCTTCTCCTATGTAGGTACATTCCGGATATACATATATATATATCTCTCTCTTCAGGTTGGTGTGGTCATGGTGTTCTAAGTATAATGTTGATGTTCAAAGTTAACACACACACAAGTGATAGTTGAACATGTCGGGATCACAAAGTTGGAACATGCCGTATGGCCACCAACACTTCGAGCACGAACAGCCAGCCCTGGTGACAATTGCTACGGCGAATGTGGCTTCTTGTTCTTCGCATTCATTTGGCTGCCCTGTCATTGGCAACCACATGCCTCCTTGTTTCTTTCTTTCACGTCCTTCCTGCCTTCGCGTCTTGTCATTTCATGTCCTCCTTTCCTTGGTGCGCGCACCAGTTGCCCCACAGGCGCCCCAGAATTTGTTTCAACAAGATTTGCTTGGCTCACCGGTTGTCCCCGCTAGGTTTCTTTCCGCTTCGTTGCCCCTTTCCACATTGCACGTTTTTCTTTTCATGTTGAAGCACCCCAGCGAAAAATATATTTGTGTGTGACTGTTTGTGCATGTCAGTTTACTGATGCAAGATACCAGCCAAAGTTGCCGAAGCGAGATCTAATGAGTGTAGTATTACCACTAGCAAGTTGCAGTTGTATTTGCAGCATACCGCAGCATACCCACAAATGCAGCTATACAAGTTATACGAGTCTCAAATGTATTGCCACCTCCGTAGCAGCAGCTCTAGACAACCACGCCTGCAAGCTGCAGATGTACTCGTAGCATACCTCTACATGCAGCTATATAGTAAGTCTCAAATGTATTGATGGAGATCTGTAACGCAAACCCTTTCTGCAGAAGAACCCTTCACAACGCACCCGGGAAGTAAAGAACAAACTAAAGTTCCTGGAGAAAAACAATTGAACTCTGCAGTGATAGTTTGAATTCCCAGTTGCCTTGGGGCAGATTGAAAATTGCGTGCCAGGCTCACAACTTAGCCAAAAATTGCCACATAGCTCAAACCTGAACTATTTGTTGTAGCTGCTCAAAAGGCCATCAGGTGGTGAAACAAGCAACACTAGTAAAATCATCGAAGCAACCCTTTTCCAATGCTGAATGCCTTTGGCACAGATGTAGCCTCTCTGTGGAGATGGTGTTATGATGCAGTTGTGGTGTTTGAATTCCGAACTTGAGGTCACAGCGCTCTTGAAACTTATTGGGCAGCATGGCCTCAAAAGCACGACAGCAGAAGATATCATCCGCAGGCCTGGTGCTGACCCCACTTTGAATTGGTATGTTCAGTTGTTTCTTGACTTCTCGGGATTTGCTGAGTTATCGGTCATCTCGAATGACGGACTTGCAGCAACGTTGCTACGAGTCACTGCCTCAAAAGACGGCAACAGTTGCGAGATGGAAGTAGTCGACCACAGTGCTTCCAGCGTCCAAACCTGGTTTGGCCCAGCACGCCTTCTTTGCCTTTGGGGTTTGGGTTGGGATGCCGCAATCAGGTTCGAGCAACTTCGACAGTCCCCAGCCCTTATGCGGAAGGTCCAGCCCTTGACACATTGTATTCTTTCCTTCATTCAGAGTACGGAGATCAGGTGCTTCCATATGATGCCTCCTGCGAGGATATTGCTGTCAACAAGGAACGACGCATGACAGACATGAAAGACCAAGCTTTGCCAGTGCTTGGTGTGAGATCTTGAATCACAGGATCTCACCTTCTTGGAATCGTTTGTTCGGCAAAAGCTGGACGAAGGCTTTCTTTGACATTCAAAACGTTGCAAAACGCCTCAGCGCATGAGAATTTGACAAGAAACACCGTCGAGGTGCAAAGCCATACCAAAATGCCTCCGAGCGTGCTGCTCGAGCGCAGACACAGAATGTGCCAAAGGCTTTCCTTTTGAGTGTTTGTGCTACAAAACCGGTGGCATCGAGTTCAGAAGGGATGCACGGAAGCAGTCACATGCACGCACAATATCTGAAGGAAAATGACAGAAAGTGCAGTACAGAAAGGATAAGACAAACAGTTACGTACAATAGTAAAGAAGAAAAACAACAAGAGAAGAGTCAGAGAAGAGGAACAAAAGAAGAAGAAGAAGAGGAGGAAGAAGAAGAAGAAGGAAGAAGAAGAAGAAGACGAGGAGGAGGAGGAGGAGGAAGAGGAAGAGGGATGAAAATTAGCCCAGCTGGAGACCCCAATAGCGAGACAAAAAGCAAAATCAGGAAACAGCTGCTGTTTTCACCACATCGACCATCTCTTCCTTGGACACCATCAACACATAACCGGGACACCATCACAAGATGACCGGGACACCGTCGCAACACGACCGGGACACCATCAAAACATGACCGGGGAACCATCACAACATGACCAGGGCGCCATCACAACATGACCGGGACACCATCGCAACACTACCGCTCACAACGTGACCGGGAAACCGTCACAACATGACCAGGACACCGTCACAACATGACCGGGACACCGTGGCAACATGACCGGGACACCGTCACAACATGACCGGGACACCGTCGCAACATGACCGGGACACCATCACAGACCGGGACACCATCACAACATGACTGGGACGCAATCAAAACATGACCGGCACACCGTCAGGGACACCATCACACCATGACCGGGACACCTTCGCAACATGACCGGGA